GTGGCCACCCATGGGTACTATCCCATACAGCCTTGTAATTAATTTTAATCTCCAATTAAACAAGACAGGTAGTTGCTTTCTTTAAAGGAAAACAAACAAGTAAAAATAAACAAACAACAACAATAAAAACCCCACAGGAACTCCAGGCATCTTTAGTGAGAAGCTTGAACTGGACTTGGACTCAGATCCTGCTACCCAATTCTTCTAAGCATGCACAGCACTTTAAGCTGCTTTCTGACTTTCACTCTACATAAAATGTTTCACATGCATCTAAAAAGTCAAGCAAAGGTCACATCAGGTTGCTGGATTTTGATCTGTTAAAAGATCCATTCCAGTTAAAGGTTTCTGATTATTCATAGCAGGAAGGAGGAAGGGGCAGGGAAAAGACGGTGCTCACCCACAGCCTGGTAAGCACCTGAGATCCTGACACAATCCTGCCTACCTCTTTCTGCCCCTGGCTAAGCCTTTCTATGTTCCCACATGCTCTTTTTTTGTCTTTGCTGGTCATCTTTATAAACCTAGATTAACCATCCCCTATTTAGTAGAGTCTTCCCCAACTTGGGGCCCCCACTCTGTGCTCCCAGGATTCTCCCCTGCTTGGCAAGTATTCTAGCAACACATACAATGCCAAACAAGTACATGCAAGCAGGACTTCCCCTGAAGCTCTTTAGACCAGCAGTTCTCAACCCATGGGCCATGTCCCCCAACAAACCTCTACATTAAAGTTCATAACAGTAGCAAAAGTACAGTTATGAAGTAGCAACAAAATAACTTGATGGTGGGGGGGGGGTTCACCACAACATGAGGAATTTTACTGTATTAAAGGGTCACAGCATTAGGAAGGTTGAGAATCTCTGCTTTAGACAATTGTGCTGTGGATGGAGGGGCCATGAACAGAGAAGAGACAGGGTTCTGATATATATAGTTGCATAATATTTGCCCCTAATCTGGCCTCCTCATAGTTATTACCATACATCTCAAAATTGAGCACCATGTTGTAAGAACCTTAGAAATGGGGGGGGGGGCATCAAAACTGAGTGCAAGTTTAAGGATGGAGTTGAGACACTGCTGTTTACAGCTTGTACTTGATTATATCCTGTGTTTCTCTTCTCCCAGATACTATCCAGAAGAGAACTGAAAGTGCATTTGTTCTTTTTAATCTTTGGAGAGGACCTAAGGACTAACCTGCATCTTCCGTTGGTTTAGATAATGTTTTCTATAATATTGTCCTTGGCCTTTTCCTCTTGGAGTAGGAAGATCAACACAATTTAGGGATGCATTTCATCTCTTCATGGGCATCCGTAAGTTATCTACTTGATACCATTGGCACTAGGATGCTAGGATGTTGAGACTGCTCTCCTTAGAAAAGCCTTAGAAAAGCCTTAGAAAAGGGGCTGAAGTCTAGGAGCTCAGACTTTGGGATTGTTCTCTTCAACATATAGTGGTAAACATAGCCATCAGAATTCATATAAATATGCATATAAACAATCTACTTTCTTTTGTAAAGAGATAGAGAATGGCTATCTGACCAAATCCTCCCAATAGTTTTATTACAGAGAAGTGAGTCTATAGCAGAAAATTCACAGGCTTCATCAATGAAGGACCCGTGTTGAGATTCCAAACTCTTAGCACCCAGAGCCTGGCTGTTTTTGGACTTGGTCCCATGTACCTTTCTCTTTTCCAGGTTTTCTTTGTATAGTCTCACCATAAGAAGCTTTGAGTCTATACTAAATAGCAAAGAACCTTCCAGGGGGTCATCATACCCAGAGATGGCCTGAAGACTCCTTAAAAGGGGAAGTTTTTAAGTATTCATGGGCCATGGTGCAAGTCCCAAGAAGTCCCGAGCTTATAAAAAGAAAATAGGCAATATCAAGAGCCATGGGAGATGATATCTCCTCATAAAGGCAGGCAGGATGTGTAGCCTGGACAGTGGCATGCACTATATAAATTCTCACAACAAAAAATTATGGAATGAAATCTGTAAGGTACAGGGCATTAGATTTTTGTTCTGTATTGGAGAATTACCAATTTCCTACTTTAAAAATGTTCAAAGCACTGGGTATGGTGGTGTACATCTACAATCTCAGCAGAGTCCAAGATCATCCCCTGCTATATAGTGTGTTCACAGCTGGCCTAGGCAACATACTACCCCAGAAAATCAGGCAACATCATGAATAAACTCAGATGAATCTTTCTCTGCACTTCAGTCTCCTCATTGTATTTACTCTGGCTCCCAGGGAAGCCATGGCTTCTACCTAATGAGAGTGGGCCTGCTATTGTCAGCATGGATCTAGCAGAGTGTCTACTTTTAAAATGCAAGTCAAGCGACCAAGGGACCAGAGAGGTGACTGGCCCACTTCTGTCTTTCTGTACCATTCCTAGTTCTGTTCTGTTTGTTTGTTTTTGTTCTTCTCTCTGTTTTGGTTTGGTTTTTGGAGACATGGTCTTTCTATGGAGCCTTCACTATGTAGACCAGGCAGGTCTCCAACTCATGGAGATGAGCCTGACTCTGCCTCCCAAGTGCTGAGATTAAAGACATATGTTACCATGCCTGGTCCAAGCTCCCTATTTTGCAAACAGTAATTGGATAATAAATTGATATTTATTGAGAGATGGTTCATGGGCCAAGATCACTTGTTTTTCCAGTTCAGATTCTAGTAGCTACTTCAAATGACTCCTGTAACTCCAGCTCCAGGGATATGACACCCTCTTCTGGCCTCCTCAAGGACTCCCCCACATAAAGCACTCTCTCTCTCTCTCTCTCTCTCTCTCTATATATATATATATATATATATATATATATATATATATATATATACACTTAATTATTTTAAAAGCACAGATCAAATGAAAGAAGGGCTAAGTAGATGATGGTTCACATTTACTCCCAGTATCCTCTATTCTTTCATTTCTCCTTATGATTTACTTTGAACTCAAAATCATAAAATGTACTTGTCAATGGGAGAATGTGTTCTACTTTACCAAAGAATTTATTTCATTTTAATAGAACAGTGTTTATTCCAAACAAGAGCCACATCTGATCCTGGAGGCAAGTAACTCCTTACTTTTTCAATTCACAAAATATTTTTAAATGACACCTCATTTGATCCCCATAACAACACTAGAAAGTAGATTTGACTTTGTTTTTTCATTATAGAGGATCAAATGTAGAGTTTCATGCACGCTAGCCAAATGCTCTACCACAGAGCTCCATCCTCAGTCCAATAGGACAATGGAGCTTTCATCTTCCATGGCACGGAATTCACTGCAATTTGGCTGGCTGGCTAGCTATGGCTTTAGAAAAATGAGTACTTTATAGGAACAAATAATCCCTGAGATCTCACCATGAAGGAACAGGCTGAAAAGGCGAGGCAGGCGTTTGGAGGAATTATTAAGATCACAAATTAAGTCACTTCTATAGACTCCATAGCAGGAAATAGATTTTTAATGAGGAAATTGAAGCTAATATGTACCAGCTGTCCTGTTAACCACTGACGGGTATTAAGGCAGATTAAATTATTAATGAAAACTGTAGCAGCTTAGAAACTTAACCTCTCTGCATTCCCGCCTTCCTTTCTCTTCTCTCCCTGGCTTGACACTGCCGTTAGAAGCCGCGCACCGGATCAGACACAGTTTGTAACTATCCAGTAGCTGTGGTGTCTGCCCAAGTGGTTGAACCTTACTTTGCAACTGTGAAATGGAGAGGACAACGACTTCATAGTCAAGCAGAGGATTAAAGGAAGCAGGAAAAGTAGCATGTGCAATGCCTGGCTTGAGGTGAGTTATGAATAAAAACAGAGATTATTGAAATATGGGAAGAAAGAGGGATCAGTAAGTACTTAATGAATAATATCCAAGGTGAGTATTCAGACTATCCACACCATGACAGCTATTCAAATTCTTAAATTCTTTGAAAACACCCCCACAAGTGAGAATGTAATTGCTGGCCAGGGCATTCTGCAGGCATCTCCTGTCCTAGCTGTCCAGGTTTCTCCCCTAAGATGGGACTCTTCATGATTTCCCCACCTTCTTCTTTGTGGAACATTACCTGAAATGTTTTCTCTATGGAGTAGCAAGGAGCCTCTAAGACGACTTCTAGGTGGCTCCTCCCCGAACATCTACTTCCTTGGTAGCCAAACTTCACTTAACCCATAGACTCATGAGCAAAGAATAAAGATTGTTGAGGCTAAGGAGATAACTCATTTGGCAAAACACTTGCCACAAAAGGATGTGGTGGTGTGTGGCTATAATCCCAGTGCTGGAGACACAGGAACAGAAGAAGGATCCTTGGGGCTTGCTGGCCATCTAAATCTCTGAATCAGCAAGCATCAGATTCAACAAGCCCTTGCTCTCCCAAAATAAGGAGGAGCTGGAGAGACGAATCAGCAGTTAACATATATACTGCTCTTCCAGAAGACTCAGGTTTGGTTTTCAGCACCCACATGAGGCGGCTCACAGCTGTCCAGTTCCAAGGGACCTGATGTCCTTTTCTGGCCTCCATATGCTCTGTACCCACATGATGTATACAAATTCATAGAGACCCACACACATATATGAAAATAAAAATAAATACATCTTTATCAAGAAAAAATAAATAAAAAGTATGGTAGAAAATGGGTGAAGAAGACATCTGACACAGGTCTCTGCCCTAAACACACCTGTGCACACATGTAAACAGGTACACACATACAAAATCATATAATCACTTTGGCATACCCTGCTGAGACTTTTGAAGTTGTTATCCTGAAATGAACAATTAATAATATCACGATTACATGATTATTGAAGTTATTCCACTGTGTATTAACTTTACACACACACACACACACACACACACACACACAACACATATGGGTGACTACATAGAGGGAAAAGAAAGAGAGAGATGATAAAAGCCTGTTAACATGGTTCCCTCAATCTCCCCTGTATTGGGTGCCAACTGATCAGAAATGAAGAAAAACCGCTTCCTCCAAGCCCGGACTGAGGTGTTGTGTACTCACGTTGGTGTTGCACAGTTTGTACTGTCGATAGGCGCCAATGCATGAGATGGTTGTAGATCGAAGATGCTGGGGAAAGGTCTGAGCTGCTCCATGGGGCCTAGCACCACTGTTGCTGCTCGATTCAGGGCTATGGAAGAGACCTGACGCTGCAGGATAGCTTTGATCATGAGTCAACGGCAGCTGATAGATAGAGGCCTCAGAAGCTGGCAGTCCAGAACGAGAGCCACTGTCTCTTGGGTAAACAGGTCCACTGTGGGAGAACCGGTGGGCTGATGGCCTGTAGCTGTGCCTAGAAGCAGATGCCTCCTGGGACCTGGAATGGCGGGATGAAGGCCTCTGTCTCCGAAGCCTCTGTGGAGTATGTGTGGTATCTGTCTGTAGTGGTAAGATGTAGGGAGCCTTCCCATAGCCGTACTTGCCAGGGCCAATGGGACCTCGGGTCCTGCTCCTAAAGACAGGAACACAACAAAGACCAACAGAGTCATGTGAATCTGTATACCAATTCAAGAGCCCAGAAAAGACAAGCTGGCTAGAGCAGAGGCTCCCTAGACACTAAAGAAGAATGGTAGGAATCAGTGGTTGGAAGACCTGCAGGTAATGCGCGAGGTTAGAATCACAAGATGTGCTCAATATAAGCTTATTACACCATGAGCTTGGGCACTTCTGCAGGTCATAAGGAGTTACTCAGGTTTTCTGAGACCTGTACAGATAAAGTTGCAATTTCAACAACAGTTACTTTCCCACTCACTTTTTTCCCCCTCACTCAGCTGTGCCTAAATTTTCCATGATCTCCATGACTATGCATATTCAAAGAACATTCTTGGGTAAATGGAGCTTAGCCTGAGCCATGACATTCTCCTACTGTCCTGAGCCCCAACCTGCATTGATCTTTAAAGACCAGTGAGGATTAAATGACTGTCTACCATTCCATAATTCCTGAGGAAATCCAGCTAAGCAATGAGTTGTCTTCATGCTGACATGAATTTTTAGCTTTGTAAAGACCCACTGCCTTCTGAGACCTTGTGAAAATCACATATGCAGTGGTTATGCTTATAAATGTTTAAATTCTGCATTTCTACAAATCCAAAAGCCCTGATGTAAAGCTTTTGCCCACTTCTATGGTGTAAATACTCCCATTGTGTCCAATTTCATGCCACCAGTAGGAAGATACAGTTAGTTCTAACAAGCAGGAATGTGGCTCACTGGTATAGAATATCTACATAATGGAGAATGTCCTTCATATGCACAAGGCTTCGTTTCCATCCTCAGGACCAGGGCTGCAAAGGAAAATCAGGGTCAGGCCCAGAACTCTGCTGCCTGTCAATTTAGTTCACTATCTTTTATTTTTACTTGTGTGCAGGAAGGCAGAAGAGGGTATCAGATCCTCTGGAGCTGCAGTTACAGGAAGTTGTCAGCTTCCAGATGTGGGCACCGGGAACTAAACTCAGGTCCTCTGCAAGAAGATGACACATTCTCCAGACCATACATGCCAATTTATTATGCAACTACTGTAGACAAAAGACAGGGCTAGAATAATATAAATAAACAAAAGTGAACCAGGAATATGTTCCAGGACTCAGTCTTAGAACCAAAAGCAACCAGAGCAGATTGCAGGCTAGGGTAAGAACCTTAGAAATAAGCTACTTAATAGTGTCTTGGGGAATTCTGAAGCAAGTGGAACACACATGTCCAAGGGATCTGAGAAGATGCCCTGGTCACTGAGAGGAGAGAAGCCCAGCATGCAGTACTCTGTCGGAAGACTTAAGCAATTCGATCCTTATTTGAGAAATGACTAAACTGGATTAAATGACCGCCAAGGTTGCTCCAACTCTAAAATTATATGCTTCCATAATAATTAATTCTACATTTATGTAAAACTGGAAATGTGCCCAAGGGTTTCTACAGGATGGCCCCATTAAAATAAGCACATTAAAATAGCAATCAAGGTGAAACATTGATTTTTGCCCTCCTGGGGAAATTCTTTCTCCACTCTATATAACCGCGAATATAAAACTTAACAGAGCACAACTAATTATTAACATCTTTATCACTAATTGCACCTCCATTCTTGGCTGATATGGTTTTGAATTAAACTAAGCTGCAGTATTTATTTTACCTTCAGGCATTTCTCAATTAATCTTGGCAACACTTGGGACTTAGTTAATGGTGGAGGCTTTAACAGATGCCATTAAGAAGTTAGTCTTAGAATACATATAGGACTTGGACCCAATTTGCCTTTTTCTTTCTTGTGGCAGGCCAGGTAAAATGAATGACATCATAGAGAGGCAAAGGAAGGAATTTTGGAGTGTGTATGTTTTTAAGTTCTGAAAGCCTACCAAAGTTGAAATCTAGCCCCAAAGTGAATGCTCAGTGCAGACTCTAGCTGAAGGTAATAGAGAGACCCAGACAACTAGAGTAGGACGTCTCACAGTTGCTGTTGCCTACGAGCTTGTTGGGAGGCAGGTTCTGGTGTACAGAAGTGGCTCACTTGGTAAAATTCTTGCCGTGCAAGCATGAGAAGCTAAGTTAAATCCTCCAGAATACCCTCAGAAGCCAGCCACTCCAGCTGGCTCAGTGATCTCCAGGTTCATGAAGAGATTTTTATCTCAAAAAGTAAGGGGGTGAGTGATTAAGTAAGACACTTAGCTTTGACCTCTGTGACCTCTGAACTCTTCATGTGAATGTACACACACACACACACACACACACACACACACACAGGGTGGGGTGTGCTTTGGTTTGAGGTGTGGGATACACCCTGAGACCCTGCATTTCCAACAGTCTCCCAGGAGAATCCAGTGCCGATGGCCCACCGACCCAGAGCTTTGAGGAACAAAGTCACAGAACTGAACTTCCAAACAAAGGGGTCAAAATTTAAGATAAGAAATGATTGTTTTTAGTGAAGAAAAAGATAGCAATGGTAGTGAAGGAAAGAGAAAAGCTCCCCATGTGTCTGTGGTCTATATTACAGGTCTACTTGACTGTGGACAGGCTGCCCTGCTTTCACACACTGATGAAGCCTCTCTGCTTGATAAGAGTTGTGGGCAGCATAGAAAGCTGGGATGGATGACTATGGAGACATATTCCCCAAAGCAGACCCTCACCCCAAAGAATATACAAATGTCTAGTTTTGTATTCCCGTTGCCTTCTGTGGTGGGGTGGGAGGAGCAGGGAGGGTGGCTCTTCCAATTACTCTACAACTATTCAAAATATCCTGCAACCACCCCACCTTTGGAAAGACAATGATGTGAAAGCATTAAATGGTAGTTTAATTCTGGTAAACAGACTACAACAAGCAAGCAAGTCAGACATGATTGTGAGTAATTTGATTTCTGAGTTCTTGACTTCTAACATAGAGTTAAGCAACAGAGTCATCCCCACTTAGCTGAGACAGTATTTGTTTTCCTTGTGACCCATCAGGGCAATCAATCCTGGTGGTTCAGGGTGGCCTCTTCCTCACCAAGACAGAGACCATCTGGCTACTTCCAGGGGGCCTCCACGGAATGGGGTAAATTTACACAGAGTTGTGACAATAGCACAGATGTGGCCATGGAGCCCCATGTGACTTTTTAACCCTTCTAGAAGAGCATGCAGTAGCTGCCTAGGGGAATGATAGATTGACTTATTCTTAAGCTTTGTCAGAACCAAGCTATGGAATTTTACTTTAGGAAAATTGACAAAATTTTGGCTAATTGTTAAAAAGTTAAACAATGTGCTGGTTACTTTTAACTGTCAACCCCACAGCATCTGACCCAGGAAGAGCAGAATTAAACAGGTTAGATTGGCCTGTAGGCATGTCTATGGGATTGCCTTGTTAGTTGATACAGGAAGACTTAGTCCATGGTGGGTGACAACATTCCCTAAACTGGGCCCTGAACTATGTAAGAATGGAGAAGGCTAGCTAAGAGCAAGCAAGCAGGCAGCATGGATATACTCATTTCGATCTGCTCTTGTAAGGATTTGTTCCTACCTTGACTTCCCCACAATAAAGGACCATCACCTGGACCTGTAAGCCAAATAGAGCCTTTCCTCTTGTACAGCTTTTAGTCAGGGTATTTGTCACAGACATGAAACTAGAACCAGCAATAAGGCAGAAAAGTTACAGTTCAAAGATCAGAGATGTGAAAACCACAATCCTGCGGTGGTCTAAGACACACACCCCTGAAGCCAAGAATCATGAGTTTGAAACTCAGCTCTGCCACTGGTGAAAAAGAGGCAATCCAACTAGCTTAGGACCATCCAACAGGCTACTTGATCCTTGTGCCATCCTTTCTATTAATGGGATCAGAACTAGGTCACTGCCCAGTGAAACACTAGGATGTGACATTTCAGGAGATGCCCTCTAGGGCAGGCAAGTGACAGCCGGAACCATTAATGATGATTTTTTTTTTTATGTTCAGTGCTGTTAATCTCTGATTCACTCTAAGCCCAGTGATAAACCCATACTCAATTGTAAAGACAGCATCACAGTTAGAGTATCCTGACTACCCCACAGTACTAATCATCAAGCCTTATGTCTGACTCTAGGCCCTGGATGGTCTAGTTCTGACACTGTCCCTGCAGTTTCTCTACAGGCCTTCCCAGCCTTGGTCTGTATTGTTTCCTCTGCTCATGCTGCCTTCCCAGCCTAGGGTCTGAAATACACACCTACCTACTTCTCAGCAACACTCAGCCTGATCCAAACTCCAGTGCAGTCTGCCACAGAAAACATGTCCTTCTTTGACCTCCCACTGGACCCCATGGAGCTGTCATAGTACAGTCATCTTTTCTTGTGGATGGTTACATTCCTGCTCGAGTCACTAGAATGTAGGCTCCCTGGGGACTAGGTCTTATTTATCTGTAGCCTACCATAATGGGTGTTCACTTTCACTAACCACCAATGTCCTGGAGAGATGGCTCAGAGGTTAAGAGAACTGACTACTCTTGCAGAGGACATGTGAGTTCAATCCCAAGCATCCATATAGAGGCTCACAACCTTCTATAATTTCAGTTCCAGGAGATCTGGCCTCCTTAAACACTGCATACATATGGTGCAGATATCTAAATGCAGGCAAAACACCCATACAAATATAAATTAATTTAATTAAAAAATAACAATTAACCACTGAAAATGGTAAAAGCACAAATGAGTGGCTCCAGTCACTGACATCCAGGGGAGGCAAGCCTCCTTATTGCGTTTGTTTCGTTTCTTTGATATGAAGTAGCCAAATGGCTGAGTAGTGATAAAATATGCTAAGATAAAATGGAATACTATATTTTACTTGAAGAGCATTAATCAATTGTGGTCCTGAGGATGAGGGCACCTCTCTCCATGTTCTTTGTTGGGTGGGAGAAGTAGGCCCTTGGACTAGAGCTGGAACACACTCTCTGTTCTCAAAATGAGAGAAAACACAGCTGGACAGACAGCTTAGTAGTGAAGTAGTTTCCCTGCAAGCGTGCAGACCCTAG